TATCTTGGGGGAGAGGGTGGATTCCTTAATGCTGTTTCTCCCCCTAACAGAAGACATCTCACCTCATAGGACCTGTACGCTTCTTTGTCATTTGCAAGGTAGAGATGCTTCTCAGGTTAGAAAGACACGTGCTTTTTATTTTTATTTGGAAGTCAGAATTAGAAAAGGGAGACAGAGAGGGAGAAAGATGCTCCCAAGAACTGAAGCCCACTTCTGGTACTTTCCCTGACCAGAAGCAGCGAGCTGAGCCGTACTGGAAGGGAGAACAGTCAGGATTTGAACCGGTGCCCAGAGGAGATGCAGGCACTGCAGGCAGAGACTTACCATACTAGGCCAACTTGCCATTTTTTAATCTTACGAAGAAATGTGCTCCTGTCTTTTAGAAAATATCTGTTTTTCTTCAAGATTTCCCTGTCAAGGTCTGTTAGTGTTCAAACTAGTTTGTAAATTACCCTGTCGTTGGCTTACCCGTCGTGCATCGTTTCAAGACATTCGCATAAATATGAGTTTCAGATAAGGAACTGTAAGCATTAAAAACAATTATCCAGAATGATAACAGAGCTCTTTGCTGATGGCGTTGGTCTGTTCACAGTGAACTTGTCAGTCTTGCAGTCACACGGCCTTCCTGCTGGCAGCTGGAGTGATGGTGGCTACCCTGCCAATCAGTCATCCCTGCTTTGCTGTCTCCCTGCGCTTGTTCCCATCAGGATGACAGGGAGAGGAAGCAAGCGTTTCTGTCGACCACAGGCTGACTTCACAATTGCACGTGGTACCAAACGACATTCTTTAGAGTAACTGTATGAGTCCGGGAAAATGAGAACTGTGGAGCACTGAGACTAAGAGCCATGCTCTCTAGCACTTCAGTCCAGTGAGGTGAGCAGGGGACAGTCATTAGACAAAAAAAAAATCAATTTGTTCTGGTTCTCGAAGATTCTTTCTGGAAAGGAGGCTGCCATGGGGTTACCTTCAGATGCCGGCGATGATTCGGTGAGTGAGTTGGCAGAAGTGACTCAACTTATTGTACTTTTACTTCCTCTTTCCTGAGTATCGGAGCAGTGCTGTCTGCATCAGTCACTTCCCAGTGGTTATGAAGGGGGCAGATTAGAGCATTGGGTTTAGTGTCTACATGGGAGTTAGTTGATGTGCTTTTGCTGTTTCTTTTCTTCTTCAATACCTCTTTACAGTTCTGCATGTATTGGTCTTCTGGGATAACTTTGTGCTACCGCCACATGTGGTTGTCCATGTGTGGGATGTGAATGTGTTTCTTGAATTGTTCCTCAAGTGGATGTTTGGGAAACAGGTTCATCAGTGCTTCTGTTGGCAGGTACTTCAAGTCTACCCTGTCTAACCTTGTGACATCCGGTAGTCGGTTTTATGTTGGTGCTCAGTGAGCCTAAGATGGTGAACCTCCCACTTACCCATCCTACCAGGTTTTGTTGACTCCTCCACTGCACTGTGTTTGGTCTGTTTCAGGATCGTATCTTACTCTCCTATTTGAGGTAGGATGTCAATAGGCTTTATCATCCCTAAACTAGCTGGAATTAGAAATAATCGGAAAAATATCAGAGTAAGAAATTGCTTTGCTTCCATTCATTACTGTATAATATGTTTATCTTCATTATCTTATCATTAAAATGAATTTCTAAATCGATGACTAGGGCTTGCTCCATCCTTGGGCTGCTGTGCTGTTAGATTTTGAAATTTCATCGAGACATTTCCATTCATTTAACATCAATTCTGGAGAATGTCTCCTGTTTTCTTCAGGTTGCTCGGCTGTGTGAGACACACATTGGTTAGTCGAGCATAAATAAGCCTTTACGCTGGGCCTGGGTCACAGAATAAGGCACTCAGTCCCTTTGAGGACCTAGTTTCCAAGGCTAAACTTTTCAAGAAAGGGAGGGTGGCTACAGTGTATTCTCAAAAAAGTAGTACAAATTCATATATGCTCATCAGGCAAATTAAACATAATGAATAGTCACAAAATAGGCATTGAGTAAGGGGAGCAGAAGGATGCAGAAAGAGAGAGAGAGAGAGGATGCCATGTGACTGCATCTCAGCTAGATCTTGAAGTCTGTTATGACCTGAACAGCCAGAGGGAGCAAGGGCGAGAATCTGGGCGGGCGTTAACTTCAGCGATGCCCTCCCCAATTTTCTTATAAAGCTACGCCACAGTTCATTTCATGAATCCCAGCTGATAGGCTTTTACATTTTTTTTTAATCTTAGACAAATAAAGGCCCAGTGTCTAAACTTGAACGTGTGCCATTTTACACAATTGCAAACAAACAAGTGCATGCAGATTAAATTCCTAGAAAAAGGATCGCTGGGTCTAAGGTGAGATGCAGTTTTTTTTCTGTGTATTGCCACAATGGCTTCTAAAGGCACCGAGCCCATTTTCATTCCGGTTTTCAACCCAGGAGTGCTGGTTTCTGTAGAGATTCACTCACAAAGAATGTCGACAAATGTTGGGATTTTTGCCAATCTAATCATAGCTTTGTGAGAAAGCAGAAATAGTGTCCATTAAAAGTCTGGGTGTTAATGACTGATAGGAGAGCTTTGTGAATGGCTGGCCCTCCTCCTCACAGCTTCCAGTGTGATAGGAAATGCTATTTTACTTGGTGATTCATGAAATGGGACTTTTTGATCAATTATCTATCTATCTATCTATCTATCTATCTATCTATCTATCTATCTATCTTTTAGCTATTCACCACCACATACATTGCTATCCATAAATGGTAGCTATGTCTGTGTACATACAAGACCAACGCAAACATGCAAACAATTAGTATAAAATGGGTTTTAGTTACTTCTCAGCTTTTTGGCCAAGATCAAGTGAAAATGGATTTCTAAGAGGAGTTTGTTTATTTTTTGAGGATCCCTATGTGCAGGGATTTACACAGTTTTTGCAGAACAAACTTATCACTTAATTTCATTTCTATTGGCTTTTTAAATTTTTTTTAAGATTTTTTAATTTTTATTACAAAGTCAGATATACAGAGAGGAGGAGAGACAGAGAGGAAGATCTTCCATCCGATGACTCAAGTAAGCACAATAGGGAAGTGGAGCTGCCGGGATTAGAACTGGCGCCCATATGGGATCTCGGCGCATTGAGCCGTTAGGCCACGCCGCCAGGCCTTTATTGGCTTTTGAACCATGTGTGTGTGTGTGAGAGAGAGAGAGAGAACGAAGAGAGAGGAGAGAGAACTTATTTTGCCATTAAGAAGTTGAGAGGAGATAGATCTAAGCATAAAGAATGACTTTTTGCGTAATGTGACCCATGGTTGCTCATTGTTAAAGATTATTTATTTGAAAAGCAGAGTTATGGAGAAAAGAGATAGAGTTATTTAATCTGCTGCCCATAAGTTCCAGCATTCCGTATAGCTGCCAGTTCATGTCCTGGCTGTTCCACTCACCTTCCTCCCACCTGATGACCTGGAAAAGCAGTAGAGGATGGCCTAAACGTCTTGGGACCATGAGCCCTTGGGGGAATCTGCAAGAGGCTGGTTCCCCGCCTCTCACCAGCTCACTCTGGCCATGTTGACTATTTAGAGAGTGAGCGCTGGATGGATGAGCTTTCTCTCTGCCTCTTCTTTTCTCTACAAATCTGCCTTTCCAATAAAAAAGAATCGATCCTTTAAAAAAAAAATGAAATAGGGGGGAGCCTGTAAAAAAAATAGAACTAGAAAAAAAAAAGAGTTCACCGTGGAAGTTTAAATTAAAAAAAGAAAGAAAGAAAAAGATCCAGAGAGAGTTGGAAAATGTGATAGCTCCCACTTACTGCTTCACTACCCAATTAGCCACTACAGCTCTTAGCTGGAAATGGAATTCAGGAACTGGATTATTTGAAAGATACCGCTTATTCCCAGAACATGTATTGTCAGGAATCTGGAGTCAAGATTTAAAGCTGGATATTGCATCAAGCGCACTCCAGTGAGAGATAAGACATCTTCATTCCTACACTGAATGCCTCTCCATTCGTTCACTTTTGTGTTAGCCTTTTTATTCATTATTTTTACTTTTAGTTGCCATACAAAGTGATGCCATCAGAAAGATGGCCCATCCAATAGTTCAAATGCCCAAAGCAAACCAGAGCAAGCGCCAGGGATTCAACCCAGACCTTTCAAAATGGGTGACAAAGAGCCAAGTGCTCAAGCCATTACCAGTGCCTCTCAGGATGTGAGTTAGTAAGGACTCCAAGTTGAGGCATAGCTGGAGCTCAAAGTGGGCAGTCTGATGTGGGCTGTGGGCTCACCAAGCAGAATCTTACACCTCCTGGGCCAAATGTTTGTCCATTTAGAGAATTTTAGTAAAGCCCTCTTGTGCCTACAAAGGACAGGTGCAGAACAAAATGGCACATTCCAAGGTCAGGGTTCATTGCCTATGGGAGAAAAGAAGCATACTCTTATAGAATGCCTGTCATCGCATCAGGTGCAGGGGACATGGGGCACAGTCATCCTTGGAAGCACAAGGAATGCCTGTTTCCCCAAAAAGGCTCTCACAGGAGGGCCCTGGAACACGAGCAGGGAGGTTAGTGAAGAGCCTGCCAGTGGATCATGGAGGGTATGGTGTAGGTTGCACTGCAATGGTTGGACTGGGGTGGAAGGTCTCCCTGGGGAGGCACTGGGCTGCCAGGCATGAAGACAAGAGTGATGTGAGCAAGTAATGTTCTCCGACACATCTTAGGTTTGCAAAATTCTCCTCTGAACAACACACACCTTTTTACTTCTCTATAAGTAAAGCTCATCCCAGGTTCCTTGATCGTAAATTAAAACTGTGCTGAGGTGGGAATAAAAGTGTAGGAAGGGAAGACGCGAGGATTCCCATAATGTCTTGGAATCATCTCTTGTCTCCTCTGCCTTACTGCTTAAAACAATCCTGTGCTCTAATTACAAACTGAAAAAAAAAAAAGCAAGTACCTGGAGTCTCTTATTTGATTCCTCTACCAAGAAATCAAATCTCTTTCATTTTCAATTTTCTAGCATCAAAACATGAAGCAATCATATTAAGGACTTTGTTGAATATGGGTACAGGTTAGGCAGTATGATGGAGGAAACCTGTTTGAGAGTTTGAGCCAAAAAAAAAAAAAAAAGGATAGGTCCAAATTTAACTTCGATTAGTCTTCAAGTTTCCAAATGCTTGGAAGTGAGCACGAAGCAAAAGCACGCAGGCATCCCTCGAGCAAGACACACTCTCTCAAACCTGGATAATGGCAGGTGCAAAGGATCATGCCAGGGCCCTACAGTGCAAGTCTAACAAGCAGAAATGTGACGCGTTGCCTAACCAGGTCCCAGCCTGCGGAGAAAGAGGAGATTCTGTTATGTATGCACATAATAGACCTTGACAAAGAGAAAAGACAGCTTTCATTGTGATGGAGGCCAGCTTACCTAAAGGTGACAGTCATGTTGGCAATATAAATAGCACTCCAGGAAATCTGTTCCTAGGCTGGGGCTCCATTGCACACAAGAAAGCATGGACTGAAATGGCAGTTTTTTTTTTCTCTACAGGATTGCGAGGTAATGATCTGGAAAGGCATATTAAGGGAAGATGCTGAGTAAATATTGTGACATCGTCAGTGTCACAGTTTGACATGACCGCTCACCACAAGACTGCTCCTTTTGGGGTCCTGAAGGCACTGGTGTGTCTGTCTTTCCCCTACTAGGTTTGTGCTTAGAGAGAAGACAAGTTTGTGCTTAGAGAGAAGGAAGCAGTTTCTTAGGACAGTATCCCAAAACCTTACCTGGTTTGGCCTGCTCTGGGAACCAACATTTAATGATATGTAGCAGGCTGGGTTACCCTGTCCAACCATCCATGTAGAAATATTCTCCAAGGGAGTTTTAACTCAAAATTTCCTTCAGAGACAAAGGAAAAATTAAAGCATGTATCCACAGTACGGGAGCCAAAAGTCAGGATAAGGATTCCTGAACCCCAAACAAACTGAGTTGAAAGTCCTGAGAATTGTGGGCTTCCAGTTCTTTTTAAAAACTGATTGATTTTTTTTTTTTTGAAGATTTACTGAAAAGGTAGATTCACAGAGAATCGATATTGCATCTGCTGGTTCATTCCCCAGATGGCTGTCATGGTCAGAGCTGAGCCAATCCTGACCAAAGGCAGCAGCCAGGATCCTCCGCCAGGTCTCCCACGAAGATTCAGGATCCTGAGGCCCTGGGACATCCTCTGCTGTTGTCCCAGGCCATTAGCATGGAGCTCGAGTGGAAGTGGAGCAGCTGGGATACGAACCAGCATCCATATGGGATGCAGTTGCCTGGAGGTGGAGGATTAGCCAGTTGAGCTAACACAACGCTCCCCACCACCACCCCTGCCCTATTACCTTTACTGTAGAGCCACCTGTAGTCCAGAAGATTGTCCCAGTTCCTTCCCTGGAGATGGTGTTGCTTTGGGAGACAATCAATATTCTTTGATAAGGAAAAGAAATTGTAAGCCATTATCTGCTAGGAAGAACTATAACATTTTGAAATGAACCGGAAATGCCTACCTGGTTGCACTCCCAACTCATGCCTGCAGGGTAGATTGACCAAAGCAGGGAGTTAAATTTCCCACCTATTTATCTTTTACGAAATATTGAAGCCTGGCTTCTCCTTGAGGACCCTGAGCTGCAGTCATCTCACAGTGCTGTGTGTTGCTGGGACTTAACTGGGTTTATCTGGCTGCATGTTCATCCACTCTCCCCCTGCTCCAGCTTTGCCAACTTCTTGGTGATGATCCGCTTTCAAATCCACTTTAATTTTACATCAAGTTTACTTTCGCATACGAGAGGACATTCAGCATGTCTCAGCTTTGGCTTCTTTCATTCTTATTACAGTGAATGTATTTCCAATCTCAGAGCTTCATTCCTTTTCATGGTCAAGTACTATTCTATTGTGTGAACATTCCACATTTTCTCTATCTACTCACCCATTGGCGGAAACCCGGGTCTATTCCCTCTGTTTACTGTTTTGAACAGGGCTGCAGCAGATACGGTTGCAGATCGAGTGTTTATACTGCTGTCATTTCCTTCAGACGTGCACCTCAAAGTGGGACAGCTAAGTCATGTAATAGATCCGTTTGTAATTTTTGCGAGAACCTTCCTACTGTCCTGCAGAATGGCCGTGCAACTTCACATTCTCACCAAAGGTTTCTCTTTTTAAGATTTATTTCTTTTTATCGGAAAATCAGATATACAGAGAGGAGGAGAGACAGAGAGGAAGATCTTCCCTCTGTTGATTCACTCCCCATGTGGCCACAATGGCTGGAACTGAGCCAATCCAAAGCCAGGAGCCAGGGGCTTCTTCTGGGTCTCTCACGTGGGTGCAGGGTCCCAAGCCTTTAGGCCGTCCTTGACTGCTTTCCCAGGCCAACAAGCAGGGAGCTGGATGGGAAGCAGAGCCGCCAGGACTAGAGCAGTGCCCATATGGGATGCCAGTGTGTACAAGGCAAGGACTTTAGCCACTAGTCTACCACACCAGGCCCTCCCCAAAAGTTTTGTAAAGCATTTGCTATTTTTTTCTTTCTGGTAGTAGCAGTCATTCCAACTGGAGTGAGATGACACTTCATTGGGACTTTGATTTTTTTCATTTCCCTGATGGATAATATCATCTACCACCTTTCCGTATATTTTCTGGCTATTTTTATTTCTTCCTGTGACAAATATATGTCCCTATGTTTGGCCCGTGTGTTAACCAGTTGTTTATTTCTTGTGTTGGTATAAATCCCTTTGTGTCAAGTAGCACATAAACTGTACAAGTTTAAAGACACAGATTTTTTTTTTATCACAGAGTACCTTTCTGTCAGCTGAGAAAAACCAAAGAACAATCATGTAGAAATGCATATTCTTTTTTTTTAAAGATTTATTTATTTATTGGGAAGTCAGATTTACAGAGAGGAGGAGAGACAGAGAGGAACATCTTCCATCCAATGCTTCACTCCCCAAGTGAGCGCAACGGCCGATGGATGCTATGCCAATCCGAAGCCAGGATCCAGGAACTTCTTCCGGGTCTCCCACGTGGGTGCAGGGTTCCAAGGCTTTGGGCTGTCATTGACTGCTTTCCCAGGCCACAAGCAGGGAGCTGGATGGGAAGTAGGGCTGCCGGGATTAGAACTGGCTCCCACATGGGATCTCGGGGCGTTCAAGGCGAGGACTTTAGCCACTGAGCCACGCCGCCGGGCCCAAGAAATGCATAGTCTTAATGAAATGCTAATGCGAAAATATTTAGGGCTGTTACCATCATGGCTTCTACGCAAAGGCTTCTGATCTGATGGATGCTGGTGATAAAGCATAGACAGATGAATGCTGTGTAATCGTCTCCATGGATACCTTCTTCAGGGGATTTTCATTGGCCTTATCTTTATTATTCTGCTGAGTTGAGGACCAGTTTGGAACCATGTGAGCACTCTGTTGCTGTTGTATGAGATTTTGCTTTCAGCATTTGCACGGCAGAGGTAGCACTTGACAGCCAGACGTGCAGCACCTGCTTCACTGACAACACGGCTTTCCAGCTGCAGGCGCTCTGGACCGGACGCTTGGAGTCTCGGCGGTGATCTGCCAGGAGTCTATAGGAATGTGCGTTATCTGCCTTTGCCCTCAGAAACCTCCTGCTCCGTCAACCAGTGTTTAAGGAGCAATAGTATTGGACAACGTAGGGTACCTGGCGTAGCAGCCCGAGACCTAAGAGACTCACCAACTGCAAGTTCCTTCTTGCTCATTTCACATTGAACTGGGGTCCATCCGTGCAGGTGCACAAAGCCAGTCACTCTCAGCTCCCACATTGCCTTTCCCAACCAGGGCCTCCGGAATCTGTCTTCCTGGAGTAGAAGAGAAGAGGATGACAGTCCCACGTGGGTCATCTCTCAGACCCGTGCGGGGAAGTGAGCACGTGCCCTCTTCTGCTTCTGCGTGAGAAACGCCCGACTATTGCTAGCCATCTGCATGCACCGTGCTCTCCATCCCCTGAGCTTTACGGTCAGTGGCCACTTCTGCCAAGAAGGCTGCCGGGTGGCTCAGCAGCCTGAAACACTCCTCCCTAGCTTTTCAATCTCAGTCCAAACCCCATGCAAGCCAAGCCTTGTACAGACCTGGCTGTTCTTATCAGCAGAGGTAGACGATGCTTTCTGTATGGTTTTGTCATACACCAGGCCATGTGACAAGGTCAGTGCTTGCATGTCCATTTCTTCCTTATTTGTAGGAAATGAAAAATTTCGGTTGTTTTTCAGAATGTTAGTTTTTAAATGACAGTATAGGGGCCCAGCACAATAGCCTAGCAGCTAATGTCCTCCCCTTACATGTGCCAAGATCCCATAGGGGGACTGATTGTGTCGCAGCAGCCGTGCTTCTCATCCATCTCCCTGGAAAAGCAGTGGAGGATGGCCCAAAGCCTTAGGACCCTGCACTCATGTGAGAGACCTGGAAGGGACTTTAGGCTCCTGGCTACGGATGGGCTCAGCTCCAGCCACTGTGGCCACTTGGGGAGTGAACGATTGGGCAGAAGATAGTCTCTGTCTCTTTTCCTCTCTGTATATCTGACTTTCCGATAAAACAAACAATAAATCCTTTTTAAAAAGGCAATGTAGTTACCAGTAGTTGCAAACACCTATGATGTGCAGGATGGTCCAGGAATGGCCGAGGAAGGATCTTCACTATTCAGAGATGCCCACACCATCACAGCACTTGCTGGATGTAAACTGATGCTGGCAGACTCCGAGTTCTGGCTGCCTGTTTTCCAGGCTGCAGTGTCTCTCACACATTCTCTGAAGGCATGTGAACTTTTGTACATAGGAAAAAAACATTTTTTTTTCCTAAAGTAAGAGCAGAGGATGTGTAAACAGTTACTCTGCATCCATGCGGAAAACCGCTGCCAAGTTCTTGATGTGCGTTTACACACTAACAAGTACAGCAGATGTAGTTTATATGAACGTGGGCAGAGGTTTCAATGAGGTCTCCTCCTCTTGACATCACCATTTGATTGTGAAGTCAAGATTCCTGCCTTGGAGACAAGGTGTTACCATGGCAAAAACCATGGGCCCTGCTCCTGAATTGGCAGCCACACCAGGGCTTTCAAGGGAAAGCGGGGATGGAGTCTGTGGTCTAGAATGAGCCTCTGAGGACAGAATGTTGTGGGTTTGTCCTCTATTCGATGCCAGGAGAAAAAGAAGTCAGGGATTCTCCCGTAGATCCCCACTTACCTGGTGTGGATTCCGATAAAAGTCAAGACGAGCTCGGGGTGCTATGCCATCGTATCAAGGGAGCTTTGTGTCCAGTGCATTTGCATCAATCCTCTCTGCTTGTAACTTCCAGACCTCACATTGTAGTACAAGTTTGTTTTGTTTTGTTCTTTTCCATAGGAGCTGATAAAGACATCCTAGCTCACCAGTCACTGAGTGAGCCTCGAGAGATGGCAGCTAACCCATGATCTCTGAGCTGGTCACAGGCTTTGGCTTACCTGCAGGGCACGTGGTTTGGCTGCTTTCACTCTTCACTGTTTGGTTTTGGGGTGTATGACAGGGGAATGGGGTGATATCCTTACCTGAAGGTCTCCTGAAAAGATGTTTTAATTTAGCTTCTTTATCTCTTGCTCTGGCAGAGGTAACATGATAGGATTGAGTCAGAATGCCCAGGGAAATGCAAAAACAAATAACCTTGACCATGGAGGATGCTTGGCCAGACGTCCGTAGCCTAGGAGCAGGTGCCAAGAGCTCTCTATCTCGTATCAGTGCTGGCTGTAGTCTTGATAGCCTTTTTTTCCAATCCATCTTAACTCGTTTTGCGCTGGGCCCAAGTGATGAGCCTCCTGCATTCCGCAAGGAAGACCAGCATGGTGTACAAGGATACTTGCCCAGCTCTAGCTCAGTCCTGGATGGGAAAGCATTCTAGACTCCAGGGAAAAGTCCACTCCAAGTGGGTGCTGTGAATTTTGGCTGCTTCGCCATTCTCAACAGGGAACACTGCAGTTTAGGGTATGACAGAAAAAAAAAAAAGGAAAGCACTTTTTGGTCTCCAGAGGTCTGAACCTGTGGGAAGGCCAACATGTGGGGAGAAAGTGATGGAGCAAGGCTGGGTTGTGAGATCTCTAGTGCCATGTCTGAGTTCATGAAATCATGTCTATGGTGATTCCCTTCTAGTGTCGGAGATGGGAGGCAACACCTTGGATTCGGAACTTTGACCCTGTACATAATCCTGTCTTGAAAGAAATCGAGTAGAAAAATGTTGAGAGAATCAACCATGATAGGGTTATTTAGTCAGTGAATTGTGAAACCTCCTTGGCTTTTACAGTTACAGAGGATTATTTTTGCCAAAAAGAAGTTAAAGATCAACAGGAAAAACAAAACAAAAACTACAGACAGCAGTGTGGGAAATGTTGAAGTCATTGGTTTGGGAATATGCCAATACATAGCAGTGGCTGAGCTTTCAGCAAATGAGATGCAAACGTGAATACATCCATTTATCTGTCATCATTCAGTAAATGACTTTACAAAGCTACAGAGCTTCTTTTTTTTTTTTTTCCATAGCCCAAGGCTTCTCAAATTTTACCTTGCAGAGAAAAGTATACCAGGATGATAGGGTAAAAATTTCTGGAGCCTTCTCTCTGGAGATTCAGAGGCAGCAGGTCAGGAGAGGTCCCTGATCGTGTGTGTGCAACTGCTATGTTCAGCTGCACCCGATGGCTGTGTATCATCTCCGTGGAAGAGTCATAGCTTTATGGGACATGTGTGCCATTGAGGCTCACACCAGCCCTTGCCTCAGCATCCCCGTGACTTAACCCTCACAGACCAGAGTACAGGAAAGAATCATATAAACATATCTCAATGTCTATAGCTCCTTTCTACGAAGTTTCTGTACATTCCCGATGCCAAAGGCTTAAGAGGACATGGGTGTCACAGGAATATTGGAAAGTACCAACTAGTGTTGGTAGTTAGCAACTCTTGATGCACATTTTATCTTTGATGAAATACACAGGCAAAGAGAATTACCATTCAGTTGTCCCCGTCTCAGATGCATGTAGCAGGCAGGACTCAGCAGGGGTGAAGCTTGTAGCTGGGGATCTCGGCTGGATCGCAGGAAGTGAATGATGGGCGATCCCCACTACTTCCCTGGTTCCGTTGGAGTGGGGATATTCAGTCTGAAGCCAGAGATGACACTTGATCTCACGCCCTGTGGTGCAGTACATAAACATCCTAACCGCTCAGCCAAATACTTGCTGTACTCCAACCTCCTTATGCAAGTGTGTGTTCAGTCATTTATAGTAAGTTGCTGAGAAAAGCAGAGCGCCTGCCTGCCTGTCATGAAGCTTCGCCCACAGGAAACCTCTTAGATCATGGTCATACGACATGAAAAAGAACACGAGACTGGCACACCACCCAAAGCTTTTTCAGATTCTGCGGTCTTAATAATAACCCAGTGGCATGCATGTTTAGCTCTGTGCAGTTGACTCGCAGGTGCAGGTTTGTTTGAGCAACACCATAACAAACATAATTAATGACAGCTGTCACACTATCCCTGTGATGCCACATCCACCCCCTCTCTTTACCATCCCTCCCACCCTTTCTAATTTGGGTTCATCTCCATGATCCTCCCTCTAAATAAAGCAAATGCTACAGAACCTATGTCTATTTTTAGCCTGCTCCAGCTATCTGCAAAAAGGGACAGCAAAAGATGTGTTCTCTACTTGAATCGCCTGCCATATTTTAGAACTCATTTCAGCAATCTCATTAATTTTAACATACTCCCCGCCCTTTCTTCACTGACAACAGGCCAAGGCAAAGCCCCCGAAAGAAATTACGTGAGGGATTTGATAAGCTTAATTAAATGCATAGACACTCAAGTGCTTCACAAACATTTACTTAATCACTAGAATTATTTTGACCCTATTTATGTCTTTAGACCCCGTATGTAGATCTATAGCTAAATACACATTTGCGTTGCAGCTATTATTTTTGCCGGTAATACAAACAAGGAGGAAAAAAAAAATAGAAGTAAACCATTTCCAAGTCCTTAAAAAAATATGTGCTGGGTAAGTTTCTCGTCTGCTTCTGTGGTTTTAAAATAGGAATTAAATAATGGGGCAGGAAGGACTGCAGCTCTGACCTTGATATTTGAAAAGGTGAGCTCTAAATAAAACTATTTTGCTGTCTGAATACTATCGTTATGTTTAATGGGAGTGGGCATTACAAGGTCATCTCAAGTTGTCCGTTAGGCCATAAATTAGCTGTCTGAACTATATTCAGACTGTTTTTCACTGTTCAGATGTGAAAACACGGATCCCTCTGCTCGGTGCTGCTCTATTGTGCACCTGCTCACCTGAATGTAAAGCATATTCTGAGGTGGCAATTTGTGTCCTGTTCTGGAACAGCACGCGTCTCATACCCCTAATGTTAGCTTGTCACATTGAACATCAGGGTGGGTGACTGTTTGCTATTTCAATACCTATCTTACATATGAAATTTCTTCTGCTTTTTCTGGATGCTTCTATCTTCTTCCCGAAGTCATGATGGTTTGCCCAGGGAAGCCTTCCGGGGAACAATGGACAACTTGTATAAGACAGAGCAAGCAACTCGAGGCATACACAGTGGGAGATGCTCCTCCTCCCTGGCTTGAGTGCTACTGGAACATTCAGAGAACAGATTGCCCTGGACTCTTCCAGTTTCATTCATTCAATGTTTAGGAATAATTGGGAACAAAAAAAAAAGGAATATTCATTAAATATTTCCTTTCTGATTTAGGGGAAAATCCCTGCACGGTAGACATGTGTGGTCTCTCAGGGAAAACCAGGAGGTGAGCCCAATGATTGTCAGTCTTAAGGGGACAGAAGGGAAGATCGCCTGAGAGACAGGGTAGGGGTACCAGGCCCCCAGTTCTAGAGAACCTAATAGGCCTATGAGCATGCTTAAGCTCTGCCTGTGTTCAGACATATCCGTTCTGTAGCCAGAGTGAGCAGCTAGTTGGCTTCTAAATTTGGCATGAATGTGTCATGTTTCTTTTAGCTTTGCAAAGAAGAATTATACATTTATAAGCAGATAAAATGCATACCATCAGAGTAAAAATAGTCAAGACAGGCATATTCAAGCAAATTTGATTTACTTTCCTTCAGTTTCCTTTGTTCTCATAATCATATATTTTGGAGCTTTATCTGCAAAATAATTTTTTTTTTTGCTTTCAAAGAAGATTATACAATATTGTATGTTTAGATTTTTGATTCCTGTGCAATTGCATATGAAGAAATTAAGGATGTGTGTGTAAGGAGTTATTCGAATATCCCATCCTGGACCCGGCGCCATTTCACCTTCCTCACAGCTCACCAATTTGCGCCAGTCCAGCCGTCCACCAATTGGGCATCTCACCTGAGAATCCCATCCCCCGTCTCCCTGCCCCTTCCCCAACTCTGCCCACTTACCAATCATTCTTAGGCAATCACCTGTAACAGTGTCAGGCACCATTCCCAGGGACCTGCCCTCACTCCCCCGCAGGCCCCGCCCCCACACCTTGCAGGCTCACCTGAATGACAAAAAGGCCCCCAGGTGCACCTCTCTCTCTCTCTCTCTCCCCCTCTCTCTCCTTCCAGTTTCTCCCCTCCCCTTTCTCCTAGCCTTCCCACCCCGCTGGAATAAACCTCCTAAGATACCTCGTTGCGTCTGATGTTTTCGGCTCATGGTAAAGAACCAGGTTGAGGGAATTAGCTCTGGGTAATAACGTAAAACTCGAATTTTTACAATAACGAGCAGTGTGGCTTCCCAGTCCTCCCAGCAGCACTCCGTACCGGTGCATACAGCTCATGAGTCATTCCCCACGTGCTGCACGCATACTTGACATCCAGCTCTTTTGCTCTCAGGTTTCTGTCCTTGTTGACTGAATGCACAAATTGAGGCCCAACTAGCAGAGCTGGCGCCGCTGTTTCCGGTGTTTCTTGCAGTCTCCAGGCTGCTCGTTCGCTCTTGCAA